GTCACCGCCAGCTTCCCCTTTCGCCCCTCCACATTCCCTTCCAACCTCACCTTATACTCCTTAGCCTTCTGGACCCCGAACCCCAGCCCTCGCCCCGCCCTCTCCAACGCCTCCACGATCGCCTTCGCCGGCCTCCTCGACGTGAACACCGTCCCCTTCTTCCTCTTCCTCTCAAACAAGCTCGACAGGTCGAACCCCGACGACATCGTGGATATCAAGTCAAAGGCATTGTAAGACCTCGGCGAGGCCAAGTTCTCCTCCGTTGGCTCGGCCGGCGGTGCCGGAGTGGCGAACGCCACGGGCCGAGGTAGCTTGCATTTAAACAGGGGAGTTTTCATTATGGCCTGTATCGACATCCTCTTCTCCGGATCGGCCGACGAGCAGCCGACCGATGAGCCTCCTGGCGTCGGCGGAGAACCACGGCGGAGCCTGGTACTCCGCCTTGAATATTTTGCGGTACATTTTCATCAGGTTCTCGTCCTGAAAGGGCAGGAACCCCGCTAACAAGACGAACAGAATCACGCCGGAGGACCAGACGTCGGCCTTGGCTCCGTCGTAGCCCTTCTTCCGGAGCACTTCCGGGGCCACGTAAGCCGGGGTCCCGCACTGGGTGTGGAGCAGGCCGTCTTGCCTGAGCTGCTCAGGGAGCGCCGACAGCCCGAAATCGGAGACCTTCAGGTCCCCGTTTTCGTCGAGGAGCAGGTTCTCGGGCTTCAGGTTCGCGGATGGGTAACGCCGGCGGGCGAGTGGCACGAGTCGACGGCGGAGATATTTTGTTGGGAAGTACCTTGCGCGGCTTGGTCCTCGGGAGCTTGCGCGCGGGTCGGGGAAGGAGCTCGCCCGCGCGCGAGACGTACTGCCATGACGAAGAAGATGCGGGTCTTGTGGCGACGACTCCCTGGGTCGACATTTGGGGTGTGGCGGACGGGCGCATGATGAGATCTCGCGCTGGATTTGTCGGGAGGTTGGGGTCGTGGCGGCAGGAGCTGGTCCTTGTGGATGATTTTGATGGCGACGAGGGAGTGGAGGCCGAGGTCGCGGGCGTAGTACACCTTGGCGAAGGTGCCCTGCCCGAGGAGGCGCGCCCCAGCTCGTACTTGTTGAAGAGGGAGGCTGCCGGCCTGAGGCTGAGCCGCCTCATCTCGCTCTCCTCCTTGCTGCTGCTGCTGCTGCACTTGGACCATGATGGAAATTGGGGGTGTTTGGGTTCACAGGAAGAGTGGGAGTAGTCGGCGTATTATTATTGGAGACATGTTTGGAGGGGGAGCACCTGGTTTTGCCCTTTATTTTAAAGGGAAAGCAGCGGGTTGTGTTGTTTTTATGGTTTGTTATTCGTCAGGTTTGGAGAGAAACGCGGAGAGGAGCACATTGGAAGAGGAGGGGGGCGGGATGTGAGTTGTGTAGTCACTCTCATTTTTTTTTAATGATCAGCTGTGAGTATGCCGCCAAACTATAACAGTCAAGAGGGACGCGGTTATTTTGATATGTTAAACATTTGGGATCATATTTCACCAAAAAATGTGCATCTGGCTTTAAGGGTGTAGGTCTTAATATGTTAAACATTTTGGATCATATTTCACCAAAAAATAATAAGACTGGTTATTGTGAGTTGGTTAGTAATTATGTAGATTGGAAAACTTGATTAAATTCTAAAGAACAACATGACAATAATGCGTTTGAATTAGGTCGGAAGGTATTATAGCAATTGATTGTTTTTTACTTTTAAGATGCTTTGATTTTGGATTGGAATCAAGGATTACCTATTTACCTTTAGATTGGAAATATAGTGTTCCATGCGCGCGCAAACTTTTTTTTTCTTGACTGAATTTAGTATTTAACTTCCAATTTTGCCTTTCAGATAAATTATTATTTTGTTTAAATGATCAGGTACATAAGAGGCAGTAAGTGACTATCATTTGGAGTTTGCGTTGGAGAAACCCTACTAGATGTTACAGTTTAGTGGTAAGCTCGTTCTCTTGTTATTTGTGGTTAATTTAATTTTATCAGAAAATGCTTAAACATTTTGGCTAAATAGCGTTTTAGTTGATGGGGGTAGTATTAAATCATTTTTTAACTTAGTATTATAAAATTAAATCAATGTTAGGTCGATTGAATTTTATTATGGCTAACCTTTATCAAATTGATTTTTCAATTTTGGTTGTTTTGTTGATTGTTTCCTATTTTATTACTTTTTTTTGTTCAAGATTAGAAATAATGTCACCTAGATAGTACAAATCTGGAAGTTTGAAGAGGAAACAAAGAAAGAAGGAGGAACAATTGACTCGATCACAACGAGGTGCTCTTGATAGGTTCTTTGTCAGAGAACGTTCAACTATTTCAACTGAAGATTTAGTTGATGAATACGATGACAATGATAATAAGGAATTGATTGAAGATGATGGCCTTGATGAAAATCACGATGATGATCCAAGTCCTAATGAGAATGATGGCAATGCAGATGTTTATAGTATGAATCACAATGAGAATGGTGACACCGAATTTAATGAAGAAATGTTTAATGAGAATTTGGATGCAGTTCATAATGACTTAATTGAGGAATCAAGTGAGTAAGTTCCAGCGAACCTTTATGATCCTAGAGTTTTGGATAGTTTAGATGATAAATGAAGAAATCTGTTAGCTGTAAAAGGTCCCAAAAGAGACCCGTCAATAAAAAAAGGTCCTAAAGATAGATTGAATAAATGCTTTACTTCAGGATTATACACTCGACGCATACATAATGGAGAGACATCTGATAGGATATGGCTTGTATACTACAAGGAGATTGATAAAGCATTTTGTTTTTGTTGTAAGTTGTTTAAGAAAAAGCCTATGATAACTCAGCTAGCAAATGAAGGATATAATGATTGGTCACATGTGGGTGTGCGGCATAATGAACATAAAGTTAGTAAGGCGCATATTCATAACATGGCTACTTGGATTGAGTTGTAGCTTAGATTGGAAAAGGATCAGACAATTGACAAATCTTTTGAAGATCATATCATGAAAGAGAAGGAGCATTTGAGAAAACTGTTACGAAGGTTGATTTCAATTGTGAAATATCTTGCTAAATATAATTTGGCTTTTCGGGGCAAAAATCAGAGAATTGATAAAGAAAACAATAGAAATTTTATGGGATTAGTTCAGATGGTGGCAGAGCATGATAAAGTGATGGAGGAACATCTTCGTTGCATTCAGAATAAGCAGATCCGTTATCATTATCTAAGTAATGTTATCCAAAATGAGTTGATACTCATGATGTTTTCTGAAATCCGAGGTGCAATCATATCTTAGGTTAGAGAAGCCAAATACTTTTCTGTTATACTTGATTGTACTCCTGATATTAGTCACCAAGAACAGATGACTCTGATTTTGAGATGTGTAGGTGTCACTGCTAGTCCAGTTAAAGTGAATGAGTATTTCATACAATTTTTTAATGTGGATGACACAAGTGGCCTTGGACTTTTTGAGGAGTTGCAGATGGCTCTAACGGGTATTTATCTTGATATTGATAATGTTCGAGGACAAGGATATGATAATGGATCGACTATGAATGGGCATAAGCAAGGTGTACAGAGTAGACTTCTGGATATTAATCCAAGAGCATTTTACACTCCATGTGCTTATCATAGCCTTAACTTATCCCTTTGTGATATAACAAACTGTAACTTCAAAGCTCAAGATTTCTTTGGAGTAGTACAACGAATTTATTCCTTGTTCGCAAATTCTACAAAACGTTGGAAGATTTTGATGGATAATCTTATAGGAGTTACTCTCAAGCCATTATCGACCACACGTTGGGAAGGTGGTGTTGAAAGTGTTAAGGCGATTCAATCACAACCTCTACAGATCAGACAAGCTTTACTTCAATTAGCAGAAAATGACAAAGACACAAAACCTCTACAGATCAGACAAGCTTTACTTCAATTAGCAGAAAATGACAAAGACACAAAAATAAGAAGTGAAGCTAAATCTTTAGCAAAGTACAAATGACAAAGACACAAAAATAAGAAGTGAAGCTAAATCTTTAGCAAAGTACGAGCTTGGGGATTTTGTGCTTTCATTAGGCATGACTATTTGATATAAGATATTGGTGACTGTTTACAAGGTTAGTAAGCATTTGCAAGAGAAAGATATTTCAATTGATGTTGCTATAGAATTAGTAAATGGCCTGATTGTTTCCTTCAGAAAGTATAGAGAAACTGGGTTTGCAGAGGCCATGATTACTACCAAAACACTTGCTGCTAATTTGGGAGTTAATTCAGTATTTTTTGAGAAGCGACAAATCTTTAGAAAAAGACATTTTGATGAGGTTGGAGCTCAGTCATCAGAGTTAACTCAGCAGTCGGGTGAGGAAAATTTTAGAGTTCATTATTTTCTATTACTGGTTGATCAAATGATTGGTTCATTAGAGAAAAGATTTGAACAATATCAGACATATGAGAATATTTTTGGGTTTTTATTTAGACCGAAAAAGTTATATGCATATCAGAATGATGATTTAAAAGCTTGTTGTGCTAATCCTACAAACAATCTTAAGAAAGAAAGTTCTTCTGATGTTGATGGAGATGAATTATTTACAGAGTTGCTAATCTTACAAAATATGTTTCCATCAGAAAATATGAAAGCCATTAACGTATTGAATTTCTTGAAGAGGATGAATTATTTCCCAGCCGCTAGCATTGCATATAAAATCTTGTTGACTATACCTGTCACGGTTGCATCGGCGGAACATAGCTTCTCAAAGTTAAAGATATTAAAATCATACTTGAGATCAACCATGTCGCAGGAGAGGCTAAACAGACTGGCTTTGCTCTCAGTTGAAAGTGGATTCTTAGACAAGATTGATTATGAAGCTTTGATTGATGACTTTGCAAAAAAAAAAATGCAAGGAGAAAAGTTTTCCAGTGAAGTTTTTGATGTCGGACATGTCAAGATTATTAGTAAGATGTTGATTTAGTGCATCTTTTTTTTACTATCAATATTTTGCATGTAATATGTTTTGCATAGAACCATTGTTATGTCTTAATGTTTATTTTAATTCTAGATATAAACATATCTTTCCATGCTTAGTACTACATATAAAAACAATTATTAGTTTCTTCTGAAGATTGATTAAGAGGCCCCGATTGAATTTTAGAACCGTTCTAAAGATTGATTAAGAGGCCCCGATTGAATTTTAGAACCGGGCCCCAAATTGTCAGCCACGACTCTACTCCTTAGTCTCTCAAATCCTAAGGTTATTGCAATTTGGTCCCTCAATGACCAAAATACCCTCAGCTAATATTTTCTGGAAGGGCTATTTTGAATTTGGGACTCTAAAGTTTAAAACTTTTAAAACTTTGATACCCAAATTTTTTTTTTGACATTTCGATATCCCACAATTTACACTTTTTACCCTTTGATACCGTAAACTCTTTTGGACACTTTGATACTAAAAATTTACACGTTTGTTAACTTTCACACCCCAAATATTCCATATTTTTTTAACTTTAGACATGTTTTTAACTTTGATACCCTAAAGTTTGGGTATCAAAGTGTTAAAAATAAAACTCTACGTATCAAAGTTAAGAAGGCATAAACTTTTTTTTTTGGTAAATAAATTTTTTTTTATTCATTTCCAAATTTGATTCAGCGCTTCACAATTCTCAGCAGCTGAGAAGGCATAAACTTTGAAACTTTAAAAGTGTAAAAAAAAAAGAACTTTAACGAATCTAAGTCAAAAAAGTTGTAGGATTCGGAGTATCTAAGTGCCAAAAAACTTTGAGTCCATAAAATTAAAAAGGTGCAAACATTAGTATAACAAAGTGCAAATAACCCTTTTATAAAAAGATGAGTTTTAAGAGAGAAATCATAACTCAGGAGTATGTTGGTCATTGAGGGACCAAATTGCAAGACCCCTTAAGATTTGAGAGGCAATGAGCAAATATTGAGATTTGAGGGACTAATATGAAATTATTGAAGACTTGACAAACTAATATCTAAATAACCCAACTAAAATCTCAATAATTGGGGACTGACAATTAGAGAAGTGCACGTATTAGGCAGTTATGGGTCCTAATAAGTAGCCCATTGATTTGAATTGGGAGCCCTTCCAAAAATGTTGCGGTCAAGTAGGTCACGCACTTTTGAGAACTAAGATTTGTGTAATCGAGAACTATATAATTTATGCATTTTGACAAAATACCTATAACTTGAATATCTTTAAAATTGTTATTATTCATTAATAGTTGTTTTTTATAATGTTAGTCATTGTGGAATAACTTTTGGTAAGACTATAATATATTGTTAATAGTATTATAATAATTTATCAATTTTTTATTTTCTTTATTATTATTATAATACAATCTTAAAAAATTAATTTTTTATTTTCTTCCTTTTCTACTCCTCCAAATCTCTTTATTTAATATCTCAATTGCAATTATGTTTTATAAATTATGGAGCTATTTATTTTTTTCTTTAAATTAATTGTAGAGTTGCTCTAATATTTGGTAAAAAGGAAAATAAAATATAATTAGAGGAGTACGGAGAGATGATCCAATTTGATGGTGTGTTCTGATGATCATGATGACCAAAAGAGATATATATAGAGAGAATGGAGAAGAGGAAAGGGAAAAAAAAGATTGTTCTACTTTTTTTTCCAACTAGTTCTAGGCTAAAACATGAGATAATTTAAGAGACTAGAACTCTCACTTTTGAATAGAAAAATAGAAAAGGTGGGATAATCTTATACAATTATCTCAATTCTAATTTTGTTCCAGTTTTAATTGACTAACACAATATATTTTTATACTAATTCTAGTTCTAGTTGACTAACACTATAAAAATTTATCTTACAGATTATCTCAATTCTCGTTTTGAGCCCTACTAGACTAATTCCTCCATAGTAGGATTTTTTTTTTGAACAAAAATTCATCAGACTTTGAAATAGCTAAAAGGTCATGCTTGGTGAGTGGTTAAAGTTTGTTTTTTTTGAGGAAAAACAAGGGGTATACCCTGTCATTAATATAAAGCAAAAAGTACATATACAAAAAGATACAAACTGTACCCATTAAATGGAAGATAGAAACAATAATTTCTCAAAACTAGTGATATATGACTTTCTTCTTTCAGACATCCATGAAGGTGAAGAGAGGGCCTTGTCGTCATTCACCGTTGACATAGATGTAAGAAAGAACCAAAGCCAGCCATATATATAGTGAAGAGAAATTAAAGTTTATATAGCTCAATAAACAAAAGGACTAAGAACTACAAAAAACACAAAAAATGGACAGCATCACAAGACATTCATATGCTTCTGCTAATCGGCTCTTTTTCCAGCTTGGCTTTGATCTTCTGAGCAACAGATCCTCTACCGAACCCTGACTAGTCATGTAAATCAGTTTGTTATAATCCACTTTTAGTTTTTTGGCTAGTGGATTATTTTGGATTATATTCAATCAAAAAATAAGATAAGGTACGCCACTTAATTATTGTTGGATTATAATCTATAAAGTTTGACCATGTAAAAGCTGAATTTATTCCTTATTGTTTTCACAAATTCATAAGCAACATTCATTACACATCTCTCTTTCTCTCCAACTGCATATATTTTTTGGGAGGTCATTTTTCAATAATGATGAATTATATCCATCAATTTGCCAAACATCTTACCGTTAAAAATAGATTATAATCCACTAATTTTACCAAATACTTTGTTAGCACTCTTGGCAAAAGAAAACGAAAACTGTGAAGAGAAGAAGCAAAACCTGATATATTGTTTAACGTCAATTTTAAAATAATAACAAAGAAAATATAAATCATCAAATAGCAAAAATAAATACAAAACAAAATATTGAAACCATTTAAGAACTACAAAAATTGGTGCAAGCATCAATTTTAAGATTCACAGAGACAGATCCCCTTTTTCTCCATTTATCTAATTTTATATAAAGTTTGTTTTAATAAAGGACTCACTGTAGGAATTCCTTTTTTCGTCACTGACAAGTTTTTTCAAAGGGCTAAAATACAGATTAGCTTATAAATTGACACACATTTTTCACTACAACCTAAAAACTGACGCCAGTGACAATAAGGTCTAAAATTGATACACTTAACTAATAATAGCTATGCTAGTCATTAGATTTTTAATTTGAGCATGAAACTTAAGAATTTTTACATATATACCCCTCAAATACTCCACACTTATATTTGTCGTACAAAATTTAAATATTTGTAATAAAAAAGCTCAACCCCCCACCCCCACCAAAAAAAAAGCCCCCCAAGGTCCTCACGCTCACCTCATACTCTTCCATTATCTCCAACCTTTCCCCTCTTCTCAACCTTTCTCTCCTCTCTCATTTACTTATTTCTTGTTGCTAAGGGCTGAATAATTGTCCAGTTAGCTAATCATTTACAATGCTTTTGCTGACAGAAACTCTAATATTGCATGGGTGATAGTTATGTGACTTCATATGTAGGCTAAACTTGTTGGGAATATAATCTGTTTAGAGTATAATTAGCACAAAATGTAATTTTAACAGAATTAGATAATGATTCAAAATAGATATAAAATTAAACTGAGTTTAGAATATAGCCTGATGGTCGAGGCATGCAAGCACTGTCCCAAGAAACTAATTGCCCCCTCTCGTACAGGGCTACGTGGCAAAAGTTCCCGGAGATACAACGACCCTCGGTCAGGCGACCTCCTTCTTGTCGGCACGAGCTTCAAGAAGGCTTTGTGAATTCTTCGTGACTTTCAGGGAACCTGTTGTGCGCAACGGAAATTTCGGCAGAGTTTCTGGTGCACAATAAGAGAGAAAAGATCGATAAGAATTCTTGTTTCTCAAAGGGAACAAGAATCTGAAAGCCTAATATCCCATCAAAGTGGGATATTTGCTCTTCCTCTCGTCAGTTCTAGGACTGCGCGTCGAGGGATCCTAAAAACTATTACAATAGCCACAAACTCAAACAATCTAATTTTACGTGGTTCGGCAAACTGCCTACGTCCACGGGGCAAGGAGGAGGATCTACTATTAGAGAGAAAATACAATAGGTTTACAATCTCACAAAATAAACCCTCAAACTAACTCTCTAATCTCTCACAAAATCTCTCTCAAAGGGGATACACAAACCCTTGCTACAGCCTGCCTTTTCTTCTCTGCACCCAGCCGCCAAAAGAGAACAGATTTTTCCCTTCGGTTTGCACACGCCTCCAAGCACTGTTCCGCAGCCGCACAAAGAAAAAAGCAACAATCAACCTCCTGCGCTCCTTTTTCACAAAACCTAGGTAAGCTATTTATAGCTTCTGGAATTAGTAATGACGTGGGCTCCGCTACTATCTCTTCACGCGGTTGATTGAGAACGTGGATCATTATCTTCACGCGTTTTATTTTGCCAGCCAATCTAATCATGTGGTCCCCCCCACGTTCTCACAATTCTCCACCTCGGTGAAGTTTCCCAAAACTGAGCCGACACCAACCAAACCAAATGCTTCACTTGTTGTGTCCACTACGAAGTGAAACAATTCACGACAACAGACTCAATCCATAACAAGTCGAGAACCCAAATGAGAGTGCAAACACTCTCCAAATGTTGGTATCAACGCAACAAATCGATCTCACCCCCATCAAAATCCAACCCGGCTGCATCATAAAGACTGCCTACGTATCCTCTTGCCCAAGGAATCAAGCCGAACGTAGTTCACCCAAATGGCCGCTAACGACCTCAATCCAATAGAAGAGTACGCAACCCTTCTCCAATATCATGATCAAGTCTACGGCTGATAGCACCTCCAATGGCCTCAAACACCTTCACCTGAGATGAACCAATGGTCATATCCAAACTGCATCTATCAGCTGCACTCGAATCAAAACCCAACTCATCATCTGCATCCGAATCCAAATGACTTCCTGGAGTAATCTTCACCCAATGTGGAGTAGCATCACTCTCCACCCGCTGTGATACCTCTAAGGTCTGTCC